CTGTAAGTCTAAAACTATGTCAAATGACAAGTTTTTAAAAACATAAGCCCCGGCTGCTTACTTGCAGCACAAACATTTTTATAAAGTCAAAAGCAACTAAATGGTAAAGACGTGCGTTTCGGGAACACTTACAGATGGGCTAAAACCGTGCCATGAAGGAGGAACAGGCGCTGCCCCCAGGAGTGGGACAGGGGGCTGGGGTGGAGACCAGGCCGCAGGTCACAGCGGATCATGCTGTGATCCAAACACGGCGGGGCCGGGGGCTGGCGTCGCATGGATGGAGAGGGCCCAGGGAAAGCCCCCTTCAGTTGTGGGAGAGGACACCAGTGGTGTCTGCCCCACCAGGCTCTATGTGATGCCCTAAACGTCCTGCCATCCCAGCACTGACAACGCTGTGTGTGCCATGCCAAGGGCCACAGGGGGGCAGTAGGGACCCCAGCCTGCCCCCAGCACTGCTCATCTGAGCCTTCGCCCCAGCGGGCGGCTTCCCAGGGAGGCACAGGGACCCCAGAAGGACAGGGACCCTGCAGCATCGGTGTACTAACGGGGCAGGGGGCACATTGGGCGCTGTGTCCATCCAAGCACCTCACCTCATCCCTCGCCCTGGCAGCTCCTGCCGTCCCTTCTCCCCCACCGTGCCCGGGTGGTCCCAGGCCCTCTCCCACCCTACCGCAGTCCCCCTGTCTTCTGGGCCCCACGCACCGCCAGGCCTGTGCTCCTGCCGGCACCACCCTGCACCTGCTCCCCTTTCCCAACCGCATTCCTGCCGAGCTCAAGACCTGCCTCCTCCAGAAAGTCTGTCTTGACTGCTCCAGCCAGTTGTCCCTCTGCCTCCAGGTACATTACAGGCCGTCCAGTCTATCGGAATTTCAGGTAAACAACAGATACTTTTTAGCATAAGTATATCCCAATGATTGCATGGGACATACTTATGCTAACAATTAGTAGTTTATCTGAAATTGAATTTAATTGGGTGTCTGTTTTTTATTTTGTTTTGTTAAGTCTGCGACCCTACTCCAACAACCGCATTCCCCACCCACACGCATTCACACCAGGAGCTTCTGGTCCCAGCATGGGTGCTGGGTCTGCCCACGCTCTCCCCCTCTGTGTCAATCACAGAAGCCAGGAAATGCAAGGAATCCAGCCTGAGAAGGCTCTCAGGCATCGGACGGTCACATGAGACAGAGATGGGGCTAAGACCAACTAAGAGTGGCCTCACACAGACGTCACCTGCAGGCCCCAGAGCCACGCCGCAGCTGGTCCCACCCAGAGCGGCAGTTCTTTCTGCCGCAGTCAACCTTCCTCTGACTACACTCGCCCCCTCCCACTGCAGACTCCTGGGCACTCTGGCCTCCCACCTGCCACCTGTGCTCAGGTGCAGCCTGTGGTACCTGAAACCTCCCCCATCCTGGGTCAGGAGAGAAACCTGCCATTTGCAGGCAGATATGCAGGAAGGGGTAAGGCACCTGCTGCTACTGGGAGAGTCACTTCTGTCTCAGGAAAGAGTGTGAGGTCTCAACTAGAAAGGAGGCCTGGGGGACACTTATGTCACCAGCACTCAGCTCTGTGTCATGTTGAGTGAATGAGTGAGTGAAATGGATGCTCACATGCTTGACTTCGAACCCAGAAGGGCGGCCTCTCCCCAAAACCCCCCACCCAGGACGCCAGGTCCTCCAGCAGAGTCTGAAGTTAGAGATCCCCTAACATTAGCGTGGGCCCAAAGCTGAAGAACGGGCAGAACAAGCAGGGGTGGGGGACCAGGACCCCAGGGCAGGGAGAGGCAGAGCAGGGACCCCAGACTGGGAAGGACTTTGGGATGACCCAGGTTGGGGGGTGATGGAGTTTGGATGTGTCGTCCCCTCCAAAACTCATGTGGAAATTTGATCCCCAACGTGGCAGCGTTGGGAACTGATTGAGTCATGGGGGCGGATCCCTCATGAATTGATTAATGCTCTCCCTGGGGGAGGGGGGAGTAATGACTGAGTTCTCGCTCTATTAGTTCCCATGAGACCTGATTGTTTAAAGGCCCCTGGCACCTCCCCTCTCTCTCTTGCTTCCTCTCACCATGTGATCTGCTTGTACCCACTGGCTCCCTGCCACTTTCCACCATGAGTAGAAGCAGCCTGAGGCCCGTGCCAGATGCAGCTGTCCCAGAATCATGAGCCAAATAAACCTCTTTCCTTTATAAATTACCCAGTCTCAGGCGTTCTGTTATAGCAACACAAACGGACTAAAACGGTGGGGGAGCATGGAAAGAAGGGACTGTCCATGCGGACTCCCTCAGAGGGCGGGGTGGGAGGCTGTTCTTGTTTGGTCCCAGAAACGAGGCACAGTGAACCCCTTCCCCATCAAAGACAGCTTTGGATGCAGCTTTGGAACAATCACTCCAACCCTCTTGGAAAAAGCTGAATCAGCCTCCCCTAGGGGCTGGTGTGGTCGGGACCAGTGGACGGGGGTGCACCTGAAGGTGGTGGCCCCCAGGTACTGGCCTCACCACTGATGTGCACTGCTGGACAGAGAGCCCCCTCCACTGGGACAAAGCTACACGCACACTTAGGGGTTGCCCAGGTCAGTCATTGACCTCCAGCTACCCCGTCAGCGATGAGCCACAGTCACTTAAGCAGCCAAGTCAGAGATCCTGGGCCCAGCCCCGGTTCAGCAACCACCACCCCACAACTGCACAGACCAGGTTCTGATACTCTGCTGCCCGTCACTTTGGGCTCACTAGTCCCATCCCTGTGGCAACGGCCTCTGGCCTCCAGAACCAGGCTGTCCATCTGTCCTTCAGGGCCAGGGTTTAAGAGCCACATCTCGCTGGTCCCTGGCTTGACACCCATGGCATTGGTCTTCTCAGCACAGCCCTTGGGGCCTTCAT